AATTTTCTTTACTTATTTCAAAATTTAAACTTAAAATTTGGAATATAAAGTTTTAAACTCTTTAAGTATTGAGATATTTTTAAAGAAACTTAATACATTTCATTAAGAGATGTATCCATAAATTCATATTTACATGTAGAGAGGCATCTTATGTAAATGTTACGTAATCCCAGGAACCAAACAAATATGAATTCGGTGGGAATCCAATTAAATATTTTCTGACAAAATCAAACACTCCATGATCATCCGCATGAGAACTTTGCAGAACTAGAACCCAAAAAAGAAGAAGGAAGAAGACATAAAATATCGATAATCAAAATGAAAAAAAGAAAAAAAGAAAAAAAGAAAACAGGTGACAAGTAAAACGCTGGTGGTCCATATAAAAAAAAATATATATATATATATATATAAATTCATTTTTTTACTCTGGAAAACCTTATTAGATGAATACAAGCTAAAAAAATTGAAGAAAAAGGACATGTTTTAGGCAGAAAGCAGCAGAAAGGGACATGAAGGGCATATTGCCATATTCATGATCATGATTGTAGCACATGAGTGACCATCATTTCTTCAAGTTTTTTATGAGTACATCATCATTCATAATTAAAGAAGATGAACAATTTTCATTTTCATCTTAGCAGTGCCCTTTTGGAGAAGTCATTGCTTTTCTCTAAGAAATTGATGAGATTGCCTTTGCAAAACAACAAAGCTTTTCTTTGAACAATTTCTTTGTAGAGGGAAAGGCTGGTTTTACCTTTGAGAGACTTGAGAGAACCACTAGAATTCAAATTATGGTTTATGCTCATGACTTCATTCAAGGGGTTCAAACTTGTGTCTTGCGGATTGATAGATGCACTTTTTCATTTAGGCTACAAGTTTTAGAGGCTTTAATTAATTAATTTTTTTTGGAATACTATAAATTAGAGTACATGTCAAAAGAGAAGAGAGTGTTTATCAATGCTCACTCCTAGCAAGTGCTCCTAACAGTTATTTAAACTTCATATGCACTCAATTAAATTAAAATAATGAGATAAACAAGTGGCAAGAAAAGCATCATGGTTTTGATAAGCTTATAAAACCAAACCATAATTATAAAAACATGGTTTTGCATTAATCAACCACTCTTTTTTTTTTAATCAACAAAATAAAGACACTAATCATCCAATCTAATATTGTAATCAATCAAGTCTATATAGATAAAAGAAAATTGCAAAGAAATAAGAACACTGATTATATATAATAATACTAATAATATAGCAAGTAAAAAAGGGGAAAAAAAAGAGTGAAAAAAAAACAATGAAATGATACGCCCCAAGAGATGGGACAAAGGCCCACATGTGAATCCGAGAGCTACACATCATATGGGATGTCCGATCATCTCATGTGGCATCAATATGAAAACAAAAACCCTAATTTGACCAATAATAGTCAGAATTTGGAAGCACTTAGTTGTGAAATTGGATGTTTTCCAATTAACACCTAAAACAAGAGGTGAGACCAATAACCATATGGTCCGGTAGAATTATATGTACTTTTAATCATATATTTAAGATTTAAGTTTTAATATCTATGTAAAATAGTAATTAAAAAAAAAAAAAAAACAAAACAAGAGATGAGAGTCCTCTCAATGAGTCCCACGTATTGGAATTTATTACACACCTTAGTATGCTAGATTGCACCATCACTTATATATCCTTCCACGGTTGAAACTACAAAATTGTAACTTATTCAAGTTCTTTTTTAAAGAGGAGGGAAAGAAATTAGAGATTCATGGCAACCTAAACGTAGAACTTGTGGGTTGAGGCCAGGCTGCAGCTTACTTTCGGCTGAATCAAAAGGTGGTGTTCATAAAGCCTAAACATATTCAATAAAAGGAAAGGAACACCTTTTCTGTTATTAGAAAGAAAAAAGAAGGAATTTATAAAAAGCCATAATCAAAGGGACTTATTACATCTAGATCGATGCCATCATATATGCCATAATGTTTTGCCCTCAATTCCTCCTACAGCCTGTCCAAAGATACCGTCTATAAAGCGTTATAGTTAGCAAGGGAAGAAGGTGAAATTAGGGCTCCCACAAGAAATCAAAAGGCTAGTTAAATTTTATTTTTTTTTCGTACATCTGATCATGAGTTATACAAGAGGGAATAGTTCTCTCCACCCAACTCAAGGCTCGAGCTTTATATCTTCAACTTGAAATTTCAAACTCTTAATCATTGAGTTATCTCATTGGGATTAAAAAGCTAGTTAAATATACTCCTTCCTATGTAGTATATACATATACATATAATTTTATATTGACATCAAAGGGGTGTTTGTTTTGGTTTTATGAAAATACCTATTAGCTGTTGACTCTAATCAAATGAATGTAATATTTTGAATTATAAATAACAATAATTAGTAGTAGTTAGAAACCTATTATCAACTATCAAATGTTTAGAAAAAGCTACTCCAAATAGCTTACGAACCCTAAGGCGAGTGAAAATGCATTAAACAAAGAGGAGGATTATGTTGTTATATAGTCCATTATTTGATGTAAAAAAAATATTACAATAAAATTGTCTTTCCTAAAAAATAAAAATCCCTTTAATTGATGAAATTAAATTCTTTTCGGAAGATTTTGGTGAGGCAGTTAGATTTTGGGGGTGCAATCAGATCTAACGGATTATCAACAAAGGTTTGAATGTTGTTGGTAAGGAATATTTTGATCGCACCCTAAGCATTGTTGTAAATAGTTTATCATTCTAGGTGGTGACTTTGATTTAATGTACTAATTTGTTTAACATGGTTTTTCATATTTAAATTAGGTTTCAGCAATTTTTTTATAATATATGTTTAAACAATTCAAAAAATTAAAAATAAAAAGTATTATCATTTAAAATATCAAAACATTTAATTATAATTACATTATAGATGAGACTTAATTGAGACTCATACTATAACTCACTTATTTTACAATTATAATTAGATATTTTAATATTTTTATTGTTACAGTGTCACAATTTTTTTTCTAAGCAAAATTTTTTAATTTATTTATAGAGCAAATTAGGGACTTTAGTAATTCTTCAAAATTCCAACTTTACTTTCAACTTGGATCCTTAATAAAATTACTAATATTCAAAGAGCCTTATTTACATAAACACAAAAGTGAAGTATAGTTTGTATTAATTGTGTTTCATTTAACCATTAACAGGAGAAGCGATCCTTCCATCAATAGTTAATTTTTTTTTTAAATTTGCTTTGGGTGAATTATAAAATATCAATTTGCTACAAAAATAAAAATTTTTGTTTAGTTAAAAAAGTAAAATAACAATTGTTAAAAAATTAAATAAAATAATAACTAGATTCCTTTTTCTTGCCACAGCCACACAAGCATACAAGTAATATTCCCTTTATTTATTTTTAATAGTTTTAGCTTTATTTTTTTTTATTTTTTAAACATAAATTTTAAATAAAAATTTAACATATTATATAAATAATAATTAAAAATTTTA